AGAGATTCTTCTCCTCGAGGTTAGGGGATTCGTCACGAGGGACGGTCGGGTGAGAATCGTCAACGTCAGGGAATCACGAGAGGGGCAGCCCCCAGCATGGCGGGGGGTCCAGCCCCCGCTGCCGCCTCCCCCCTTCCCGTCCCGCGCCCCGAGCCGGGCGCCTCCTCCCCGCACCCCGCGCACAGCACCCCCCCATTCGCGGAGAGCACCCCGTCCTCTTCATGCAGCCTCGGGCTGTCCCGTCCATAGGCGTGCCGGAGGTAGAAGGTCGACAGCGAACCATTTCGGATTGCAATGCCACAGGCTTCGTTATCGAGTCAAGCATCGCTCAGGGCGGCGAGGACGACGGCGTCGTGGGCCTCGCGATCCCCACGTCCTGGTCGTAATTTTGATGCGTGCCGGCGTCCTCGTCGACAAGATGCGCAACGACATCCTGAGCGGCGTCCTCTGCGATGTTTGGTCGGAGCCCAACCCAGATCGTGCCGCGCACTGGCGGCGTTCGCCTCGAGCTCGCGCCTATGCTGCGCGTCACTGCGGTTGCGTACCGCCCGATCACGCTGCCTCTTTGAGCACGCCTCTAACGTGGCAGCCAAATGCTCGGACGACATCGAGAAGAACCTCGCGCAGATCACGACCCACGAGGTTCTCGTGCCGGCCCCTAAGTTTCGCATCAGGAAGCCGACAACACGGCGGAAGAGGTGGAGCGCGCATCCAAGTGGCCGGCGCGATTGAGCGCGAGCGCAACCCGGCGCTCTACCAAGACGACCGCGGCTCGGACGACCCGAAGGCCCTCGTTGGCAAGCGCGTAGAGCGCTCGCCGCTCTCGTCGGCCGGAGCGACCTCAATGGCCGTATGTGTAACTTATTCCGGGGACGGTGTGCGGGGAGCGAACCTTAACGACCGCCCAGAAGCTTTCTGAGCGAACCAATCGGGCCAGGATATCATCAACATATGTCCCCTCCACAACATCGTGGGCGTTTGAGCGAGAGAGCCGCAGGAGCCCTCTGAGGACCAGGCGCGCGCGAAAGCGGCGATGAGCGGAGCCGCGAACAGCCACCTGTGGGCGGTCACCGGGGTGGCGGTCAAGCACGCTCCGGGGTGGATCCGGAGCTACTCGTATCACTGGTGGGCTGGGTGTGCAGCAGCAGCGCTCAAAAAGAGGCAAAAAACTCGGCTGCTGTTTTGAGTGTCAGCTTTCTCGACGCGCCGTTCTCCGCCCGGCCAAAAAGCTGGCTGGTGGTCGCGCGCGGCGCCTGCGCGGCTCCAACTGGTCGGGCACCTCGGCTGGGTCCATCAGCACGAGGCCAGCCCCGTCGGGCAGCCCCGCGAGCGCATGAAGTCCCACCGAGAGGCACTGATGCGCACTGGTTTGGCGGAAAATAGGACGCGCCGAGGGGGGGGGTCCGAATAAGTTATATCATAGCCGCGCCGGCATCGCGCGCGCGTACAACAAGGCGACAGGCCGCTACGCCGTCGAGCTCGATGGCCGCGCTGGCGAGCGCATGGCCGTGAAACCTTCCAATCTCTCACTGCTCGCAGCCGTCGGCGTTGAATGAGGGCGGGCATCTCTTCATTCTGCCGATTGCGGGGTGACGTGTCCGCGTCGCGCGTGGGGTAAGTACTCTGGCATGTTGGCAGTCCAGAGGGCTACCAAACTCAACAACATTTCATATACCGGGCTCTAGACCGGGCTTTGCCCGGTGCTGGGGAGATCGCCGAGCAGCCCTCCAAATTTGGCCGATGGCATCTCCATCTGCGCAAACTCCAAACTACAGCTTTATAATCGGACAGGCAGGCTTGTTGCACGCTTGGTACGGCTCTACGCCGCACATTGTTCACTTTTGAAATTTTGCGACGCGGGCGCTCAATCACGTACCACGGAGTGCGCCCGTGAAGTTTGAGCTTGTACACGCACACACACACACACACACACACACACACACACACACACACACACACACACACACACACACACACACACACACACACACACACACACACACACACACACACACACGCGCGCGCGCGCACACAACCTCGCACACACTCAAACACATTCGTGTGAGTGAGCGGGTATTTTCTAAGAAAAACAAGCATGAATCTATTTCTCTAACTGACTAACTGTCTGACTGACCTATGGGAACGGGTAGCACACTACACTGGCCCATCCTTCCCTACGCCTCCAGCCGCGGCGAAGCCCCGGCGTCTCCTGCGCCGACGTGGATCGGCGACCCAGACGACCGCGCCGACTGCCTCTGGTGCGTCCGCCGCTGGTCCGCCAGCAGAAGCTCGTTGAGGTTGGCGAAGTGCGCGGCGCTGCTCGGCAGCCCCAGCCTGCGGCTGAGCGTGAGCGCCGCCGTGTAGAACCGGATGGCCGCCGTGCTCTTGCCCAAGCAGGAGTGGGCGATCCCGAGGCTGCCGAGCCGCGCGCACTCGCCCTCCTGGTCGCCCACCACGCGGCTGAGGGCGAGCGCCGCGGTGAGCTCGTCCACCGCCCGCGCGTGCGAGCCGAGGCTGCAGAGCACACCGCCCAAGTTCGCGCGGTGCACGCCTTCCGCCCGCCAGTCGCCCGTCTCGCGCGCAACCGCCAGCGCCGCCTCGTGCAGGGGTGGGGCAGTTGGGAGATATGGGGAGATATGGGGAGATATGGGGAGATATGGGGAGATATGGGGAGATATGAGGAGGTATGGGGAGATATGGGGAGATGTGGGGAGATGTGGGGAGATATGGGGAGATGTGGGGAGGTGTGGGGAGATATGGGGAGATGTGGGGAGATGTGGGGAGGTGTGCGCCTCGTGCAGGGCGAGGGCCTGACTCAGCTGGCCGAGGTCGCCAAACGTGTTGCCCAAGTGGCCGAGCTCGACTCCCTGCCCTCTCCGGTCGCCGCACTGTAGGCTCAGCGCGAGCGACGCGGCGTGGCGCGCGAGGGCGTGCTCGTGCTCGCCGCGCGCCTGATGAGAGCTCTAGATCCTAGTTGATTGATTGATTCGTTTGTTAGGCGAGGGCGGCGTGCTCGCGTGCGTCGCCGCGCGTCTGATGAGGGGGGTGATTGATTGATGACTGATCGATGGGTTAACTAGGAGAGGGCGTGCTCGTGCGTCGCCGCTCGCCGAGTAGGAAAGGCCCATATCTCCCCATATCTCCCCACATCTCCCCATATCTCCCGTGCTCGCCGAGTAGGAAAGGCCCAGGCTCGAGAGCAGCGCGGCGGCGCTCCTAGAAAGGCGCACGCGCCGGTCAGCTCCTGGTTCAAAACAGACTCGAGAGAGCAGCAGCGTGGCGGCGGCGCTCCGCGTGTCGCCGAGCGCCTCGCTCACGCCGATGGCGGCGCGGAGCGCCTCCGCCGCCCGCTCGTGCTCTCCCAAGCTCTGCCACGCGATGCCAAGACTCCCCTCCGCCTGCCTCCGCGAGACCGCGCGCATGTGTGGGGCGGTGTGGGGAGATGTGGGGAGGTGTGGGGAGATGTGGGGAGATGTGGGGAGATGTGGGGAGATGTGGGGAGATGTGGGGAGATGTGGGGAGATGTGGGGAGATATGCCTTCATCAGGGACCGCACGCGCACATGGACATGGGGAGATGGGGAGATTGGGGGAGATATGGGGCTGTTCTGGGGAGGGAGACATGCCTTCATCAGCGACCGAGCGCGCCCCTCGGGCAGCGGCAGCGCCGCAGCGAGAGCGCGCATCTCCTCGAACGCCTCCACCGCGGCGTCGGCGTCGCCCCGGCTCAAGTACGCGTTGCCTACGGGCTACGCGTGCTGAGTACGCCAGCATCGGGGCGGGACTAGGGTATTGTGGGCAGCGAAACGTGTATTCAGAGCACCGCGTGAAGTCACAAGACGAGGCTACCAAGTACAGTGCATACACAGCGGAATGCGGCCGAGTCTGTGCGGCGGAGTGCGTGTCCTCTCGAGCGCTGGCTGGGATGCAAGAATGCGTATTCCGCGTCTAGGGCGAAATGCAGGGAGATACGGAGAGATATGGGGAGATACTCCGCTTCTAGCACACGTTGCCCCGCTCATGCAGTGCACGCATAGCGGCGGCGGCAGCGGCGCGCGCGCGAGTAGGCGGCCGCGAGGCCAGCAAGGCGTGCGGCAACGCGTGCGGCGGCAGGGAGCAGCGTCTGTGCCGCAGCCGGCAGCACCCCCACCACGCCGCCGTCCGCCTAATTGACCATTGAGTGACTGGTTGGTTGTGATTCATTAGCCGGCACCGCCCCCCCCCCCCAAGCCCCCTTCCGCCTAGTTATCGTTCATGAACCGAGTAGTTATGAGTCATTAGCCGGCGAACACGCCACGCTGCCTTCCGCCTCGTCCTGCGGCGGTCGCCCAGTCCGCCGCCGACGTAGAGGCGCGGCGCCGGGCGGGCGTCGGCGGTGGCGGCGGAGGGGGAGCGCGGGCCGCGGCATCGCTCGAACTCCGGGTACGGGTCCTCGCCTGATTAATTCGTTAATTAATTGATTGATTCACCCGCGGCATCCGTCGAGCTCCGGGTGCGGGTCCTCGCCTATATGGGGAGATATGGGGAGATATGGGGAGATCGCGATCTCCGTCGGTTTCCGGGTGCGGGTCCTCGCCCCGCATCAGCGCATCGGCCGCCGCGCGCATCCCAACCCTGAAGGCGGCGAGCTCCACGGCCGCCTAATTAAGAGATGCTGACTAGTGAATTAGTTGAGTCGTTAATTCGCCCCTGATGGCGGCGAGCTCCACTGGGCGCCTTCTCCCTCCTCGGCAGCCGGTTGCCGCCGCCGTCGGGCAGCGTGAAGGGCGCCGGCACGGCCTAACACAGAAAATAGAAGAAATGAAAAAACCGACACCTCTCGCTGGAGATCGGCGCAAGTCCGCGCCTGTATATACGAAAGGCGCCGCGCCGGTGCTGCTCTTTCTCTAAGTCGAGCCGAAACACGGCCACCGCCGCGCGCGCGCCGGCTCGGCCCGCTCGCCGAGCAGCCAGGCGCGCGCGCGCTGCGACGCCCTCCTACATGGGGAGATCGGGGGAGATCTGGGGGGAGATCTGGGGAGATCGGCCGCGCGCCGGGGCGGCGACGCGCTCCTCCCGGCGGCGCTGAGCTGTGGCGGGGCGGGGTGGAATCCGGCCTCGGGCGACTCGGGCGTGGCAGCTGCGTTGACTTCTGCGTCGATGACGAAGGCGATCTGCTTCTCGTATGGCGTGCCTGTGTGTGCCATCGTACAATGAGTGCACTTCCTCACAGCGCAACTACACTGAACTCGATCTGCTTCTCGTATGGCGTGCCTGTGTGTGCCATCGTACAATGAGTGCATTCCTCACAGCGCAACTACACTGAACTCGATCTGCTTCTCGTATGGCGTGCCTGTGTGTGCCATCGTACAATGAGTGCATTCCTCACAGCTGGACTGAGTTCGACCTGCTCCTCGTTTTGGGTGCCGCGGGCGGAGAGGGGGAGGAAGGAGGCGGCGCGGCGGGCGGAGAGCGGCGACGAGAACGGGAGGCTCGCAGTGACCTCGGCGAGGATGCCTGTTCACACCCGTCGCCACACCTGAGTCGCTGTGAGGAGTCGCTTGGTGTCGCTGATATCGAGGAGATGAGATGTGGGGAGACATTTGAGTGGCTGAGCGCGGGGAGGTGTGGTGAGATCTGGGGAGGTATGGGGAGGTATGGGGGGAGGTATGGGGAGGTATGGGGAGGTATGGGGAGGTATGGGGAGGTATGGGGAGGTATGGGGAGGTATGGGGAGGTATGGGGAGGTGACTGTGGGATGGGCCGGGGTATGCCTCCGATCCGCTCCTCGCCCAAGCCGGCGTGGCGATCGGAGAGGACGGCGGCGATGACCTCCTCCGCAGAGGCAGCCGTGGCGGCAGCCTTGCGCGCGCCGGCGCGGTGAGACGGCGGCGTGACGGCGGCCTTGCGTGCGTGCTGCGAGTAGCGCGCCCTTGCGAGCGCCGGCATGGTGATCAAGAGTTTGCACGCGCACGCCCATAGCTCCCGGCCAGAGCGGCACGGGGCGCCTAATTGAGTCCTAACTGAGTTAATTCTCGTCTGGGCCAGTGCGGCACGGGGCACGAGAGCCTGCGAGCGCGTCATGAACGTGTACGTGTGTGAGGTAACCGTCTCTCCCCAAAGGGCCATGGACGTGCGAGGCGGTCAGGGCGTGAGGCGCGCGTGCATGCGGACGGCACGTGCGTGCACCCATGCGAGATGCAGCCGTGCGAGGAGTGGAAGCAAATCTCGGAAGTGTCTCGGAACAAGCGTCGGTCATTGCGTGACACAGGTGCTTAGCTCGCCGTCGGCAGCGTTGGGCGAGCGGCTCGCCGACGAGGACGAAGAGGACGGGAGCGACGGTGGAGGTGGCGATCCGCGGACAGGCGAATGCAAGGAGGATGGCAGCGACGGCGGATCGGCAGCGAGGTCGTACTCGCTCATGAAGGAAAAGCCGGAGTGCTCGGTCGTCGCAGAGCGGGCGGGTGAAGAGGGGCAGTAGATGAGATCGCACGCAAAGGCGTGGCAGTCTTCGGAAGAGGTTTCTCTCCGCTTCTCCGTCTCCTCTTCTCCGCGAGCATCCAAGGCCGTCTTCAGCAAAGCGATCTCAGCCAAAGCCGCCGCCGCCGCCTCCGCCGCCTCCGCCTGTGCCGCCGCCTCGCCCACCATGCACGTTGCCAGTTCACCATGGCCCGCCCCAGCTGCCGCCGCCGCCTCTCCTCTCGTCTGCCAAAGGCAGGCCGTGCACGAGCGGATCGCCTCACGCATGTGTGAGAAGCGCAATTTGTCGTGCTATCGGAAGAGGCGGCGGGGTGTTTCTTTTTGAGCTAAAATTCTTTTGCTTTGCCTCGATGTTATGAAACAAACGCAAGGCGGACATGGCATATCGCTCTCGGACCCACAGACATCCCGCACACCCGCCGCACATTCGCCGCCCCCGCGCTCGCCCCACCCCGGCCGGGAGAAAGAAAGGGGAGTGACAGTTTGGGAAGGAAAGTCGAGTATCTCGCACTCCATGTGCGAGAACGCAGGGTAAATGTAAGCCGGATGGCTCACAGGCCACCTCTTGCGCCCCGAGCTCACCATCTACCGCACTGAACACTTCCGCCCCCCACGTGTACGCCCTCACACTCACATACGCACTCAGAGAGAGAGATTTTTAGAAGCCAACAAGAAATGTGTCACTTCTCGCACTCACCACACACGCTCTGAGCGTGCTAGAAAAGCTCGCATTAGAACTGATGGTAAGTCAGACGGACGTTTTGGGACGAAGCGATTGACCGCCAGACACCAATGCCAGTCTGTATCTGTAGATTCCCCGTCGTATCCGTATCTCTTAAGAGCCGCCGCGGCAAACACTGTATTCTGTATAAAGCCGTATGTAGATTAGGGGTCGCGGTTAGAAGATAGAACTTACTGGAGATGTCTATGGTCTAAACCGCCCAATATCATGCACCAACTCTATAAAATGAATTCGCCCTTCGCGAGTGCGCCTTTGGCCTGAAGTTGGCCATTACATTGCACGTTGGCATCTTTTTGGCTCCTTAAGCCTGTACTTGGGTGAGGCTGTACGGCGGCGCGCGCAAGTCGATGGCCTCGCCTGGCCGCCACCACTGGAATCCGTGCTCCTCGCCAAACTCATCGAT